GTAACTGGGAACATTATGCATTCCAAGGTTAGCATGAGAAAATAAAACAAGAGGTAAATTTATTGGATGGTCATGGTATAATAATTCATAAATCAGACAGAACAACTTTGGAGTAATCCCTTCCGTAACTGCATTATTTCTGCCCAAACCTCCCTCTATGATAATTTTAAAAAATCAAAAAGTCATCTGTATACTGACTCCTGAAGTCAGAACTTACAAGAATGCGATTGCAATATTGAACTCTGAACCTAATGGAAGTTCAGAAATGAGAGAGGGTATTGACACATATAAATTTTCCTGCCAACTGGAGATCCCTAGGTGCTTCTACTACTCTCTGGCCCTTTCTCATGACAGTCTTCAAGGGCGCTGCCTTGAAGCCATCTTGTCCACCCTCCTAAACAGGGTGAAATCAAAGCAAAATTTGGTTGTGCCTCATCCTTTCCTTGAGAATGGACCCTGGGCTCACTCTACCTTAAAAATGAAATGTGCACTTTCTGTGTGCAGATTCTGTGTGAAAGGGGCCCCTGGCTCTGTTCAGGGGGAATGTAAGCAGATCTCTGAAGAAATCTCTTGGCTCAGCAGTTTTCGGGCGTGTTGTAATTGGCCTAGGCTGAAAGAATTCAGCAAGCTGTACCTGGGCCAAGGAAAATGCAGATGCTTCCCTGAAACAGGCGTTCAGGGAAGATGAGAGGAGTGAGGCTCACCTGCAAACCCCAGAGACAAGCAAGGTGAACAGAAAAGCTGGGAAACCAGAGAGGCTCCGAATAGGCCATCTTCTCACCTGGTCACAGGTGGAGGCCACATGAATGGAACTGGCCACACCAGGGAGGGTAAGTAGCTCTATGTGGGAAGGATCTTGAGTAGGAGGTCCCCTCCTTCCATTATGAGGCTCCTTTTATCCTGAGGACAAAGCCAGTCTTTTGGCCCAGTCTGGCTCCCCACCAGGTGCTCAGTGGTGCTTTTTCTAAGCCCAGCCTTTCTCTGGACACAGAAGACTGAGGATACTCTGATCTCCTCAGTCCAAGAAGAAACTTCTTGTGGAGTGACTGCTCCTGATTCTCAAAGGCGTCTCAAGGAGTATTTTCTGGTTTCACACTTGGCTGTCTATCCCCACTCCTCCATTCCTCTGTGATCTGCATGAGAGCAGGCCAGTCCTTCCCACTAGATTCCTTGTGTTTGCCATGTTCTTTGGACATGGCCCTTAATGAGCAAATGATTGTTAAGTGGTAGTAATGCAGATTACTACAGAATTTTTCGTAGCAGGGCATTTCACCACTGTTTTTATTCTGTTTCTATCACATATCCGAGCATATAGGAGATGTTCTGTCAAGTGTTTCGATGGATGTGAATTTTTCTGATGAATTAACAATCTCTGGACGCCAGGAAGATGCTCTTAGCTGTACAGCCCTGAGCAGTGAGCTACTCAGAGAAATGGAGAAACTAAGTCATAGGCCGTGAGTAGTTTCCTTTCATGTCTCCACTCACATCTTTCTTGCTCATACTTCCCACTCATCCCCACCTCTCATCACATCTTGAGACATCTGATATAGTCTTAGAAAAGTTCCAGTTATCTTGGCTTTCCCCTAGGTTCCTGCTTCAAGTCACCCTATGTCTATGTTTCCCTTTTTCCTCTTGTCCTTCTTCCTTTCCTCATCCACAAGGCTTTTCATCTTCCTTCTTGCCTAAGCACTCAGTTCCCACTGCTCAATTAGAAGCTAACTCTTTAATCTTCTCTTTCTCTTGTCTGTGACCTCACCAACTTTGCATTCTTCTAAGTCTCTACAACTCTCTTCCTGGTTATATCATGGAAAGGACTCCAAATCACCCTAGCATTCTTTTTTTCCTTCTTAACAATCTTCTCCCTTTTTATTTCTCCTGCCCCTATTCCTCTGCCTTTGTCTCCTGCATTAAGGCAGGAGAATAACACAATAGGCAATAATTTTAGCTCTGCTATCTACCAGTAATGTATGTCATCAATAGGGTCCCTCAACATGGAAGTAGATTTTTTTTAACTTACTATAATCCTAACTTTAAAAAAATCATGATTAAGTTTATGTTCTGTCTTTATACTCTGGTTCTATACTGAAGGTACCTTTTTTGTGATACTGGGGTTTGAATTCAGAGCCTTGTACTTGCTAGGGAAGTACCCTACTGCTTGAGCCATGCCTCAAGTTCTGATGGTACTATTTTCTATTCCTTTGTTTCCATATCTTTTTGATGCATTTTGCATGTGTGTGCTTTGATTATTCTTGAACCCCATTAGAATAGTCTGGAATCAAATGGACTTTGGAGGTGGAGTCTAGACAGATCAGGCAACCACTCAATTGAGGAAAAAAATGAAAGGAATTCAGATATGGATGACGGTGGTGGTAGGGTGTTTGACAATGTGGTTTTTCAACATCTTCTTCAAAACTTAAGATGCACCTTAAACCCATTATCCATATGCTAGGTGTTTGGTTTTTTCCCTTTGTGTTAGTCACTATACTAAAGAGCAATTGCCCCACATAACAGGCTCTTAAATTTCCTAAATTGGTAAAATAAATAATTTTGATCCAGGGAAAGAAATGAAACAAAAGTAAGTACAGTTTGGATTAAGATGGTCATCAAATTAAAGCATGAGATTCCCTCAACCAGAAGCAAAATACCCTGTGTAGAGATTTCAGGTGTTTTATTTCTGTAGTTTGTTCTTGTGGACCCTAGGTGGTTCACCAGCTCAAAGACTCTTGGAGTTAGAAGGATCCCCTAAAGTTATTTCATTCCAGTTGACTTGGCCCCATACTTGGACCCTCTCCTTGACCAAAGGACTTCCAATGGTGGAGCCCTACTATTCTTTTCCAGACGGGAAGTGATCTTTCCAATTTTGGACTGAACTCACAGGATAGTCTTCTCATAATGACTCAAAAAGCTTTCTCTTTGGAGTTTCCCCACTTTGGTTCCATTCTATTCCCTAAAACTGGGCTGAGAAAATCTCATCTCCTTTTCACCCGAGAGCCCTTTGGATATGCGAAGACAGCAATTTACAACTGTGTCTTCTTTTACCTAAATATTCCCAGTTTTCCAAATTTCTCATGGCAGCATTTTAAGTCTCTTTGGTTGTCCTGTTCTTAGTGTGCTCCATTGTGCTTGGGTGGGACCCACATCAGAACTGGGTGCTTTGACCAGATTCTGTCCTTCCCTTGCATTCATTTTCCTGACTCTCAGTGCATCCCTCACATGCACCAAACACCTGCTACTTCTTCTTGAGATGCATTTCTGGATTTGGACGCCATCCATACTAACGGTCCTCAGTTGTAGATCCACTGGCATGGAAGGGAATCTTTGCAGCATTCCTGGAGTTCTTTAAACCTTTTTCATTGTTTCTTTATTTTTTTAAATATGAGTTTATAAGTTTTCCTCTTTTGTATTCAGCCCAAGTCCCAACATAGGTCTGAGAAATATTTATAGAGTCCATGGTAAGTAAGCATACCATTAATTTACTTTCACTGTCTCATTTGAGTAACACACAGTTGCTTTAGAATGCTTAGGCTTGCAGTTGTTGAGTATTCTTTATTCCTGTGGTGTCTATGTTACTTATGGAGAAAAAGCCCAGAGTAGCTGTGTTTTCTTATAAGTGGAGCTTTATCATTTTACACCAGATTCAACCTTCCCACTTGCTTCAGTTCAGAGCTGCCTCCAACATCAGGGAGGCAGTGTAATTTAATAGAAATCAGTGGGCATAGGTTTGGGATCTGGCTTGCTGAAATTACTATTTCAGTGTTTCATATTGACCTCTGGCCAGGGCTCTCTCACCAGGATGACTGATAGAGCCAGTGTGACTATGTGACATGTGAGATGAGCTCTGAGCTCGAACAGGTTGTGATTTGGCCCTTATCTCTGCCACACATGATGGTCCATTTACCATTCTGACCTCAGTTTCTTCATCTAAAAAATGGAGCTAACCTAATCTTGCAGTCAGAATCTCAGAAGTGGTATGATGGCAAAATGAGATAATCTGTCACAAAGCAAGTGATGACCTAAAGTCAGTGCCCAGATCCATGTTGTCACCCTGCAAAGTTTCCTTAGTCAGCTTCTAAGAACTGTTCACTGGTAAAGAAAGAGCTTCCTGCCAGTCCTACTGGTAATTTATTCCATATCTGACATAATGATGAATTCTCTCCTGCAAGCTTTCCCTGGGTCTCTGTCTGTGTCACACCCAGCACACCACCCTCACAGCAGGAGTTGTTGATCAGTACTCCTTGCCCTGCACTGAGGATGGACTGAACACCTCTTCCCTTCCTCCTCAGGGACAGAACATAGTCTGGATGTGCAAGGTGGACAGAGGTCAGGAAACCAGTTCTGATCTCAGCTCCATTCATGGTTTTCCTAGTGCATTGGATATATCACTTGGTTGCATGAGTTTCTGATTCTATTTGCAGAAATAAGGATTCACCATGGTGGGCAGCAGAAAATTTCCAGAGCTGCCGTGGTACCAAAAGGCCAGCAGAGCCCAGGGGACTGTACTGTCATGCTTTACTCAGATGGTGGAGACAACGCCTGTCTCCCTAATACAGTTCTGAGTGTCTGACCTTATGATGCATTTGTGCCAGTCAGGGGATTGAACACTAAGCAGAAGCAAAGTTGCCAATTACTACTTCCTATACAGAGCATAATTCATGCAAGCTTATTACTCATACCATACTAGGCCTCCTGCACCAAGAACTCAGACTGCCAGAAGTTATTTCCCTGATTAATCACAGAAGACCCCAACATTGAAGTTTACACATAGGCTGCTCTTTGTGGCTGCAGTCGGACCAGTACCCTTTAAGGCACACCCCAAATATGTGCACTTCTTCCCCGCCCCCCCCCAATTCAGGCACCATCCCAACTGGGTACTGCCCTGTCATGCCCTGCATCTCCCACAAGGGGGAGCCCCTGGAGGGCAGCTGGGACTGCGCAATTTTGGAAGCGCTGAACTTTTCTCCTTCTGTCCTGTAACTGGTTTTTCCCTCACCCCACTGTGAGATTTCTTTGTTGCAATGTTGGGGTCTGAGATAACACTGTTGGAGGCTGCAGGCAACCACAGCTGATTCCACCTTTTATTGTGTGTTGTTATTTACCAGCGTTATAAGCTAAGGAGGCAGATAGATGACAAAGAGCTTGAAGATTTTGCACAGCTCACAGGCCCTGAAGAGAGGCTGGCAGCGTCAGACCGACAGAACCAAGACATCTGAGGGGCAACCAGGAGGTGCCTGTGGCTGCACAGCACAGGTAGGAGCCTGGGAGAGGACAACCAGGGGGAGATTATGGGGAGAGTGCACAGAGCCCCTTATGTGTGGAGTAAGCTCAGAGGGTGGTCAGCAGAGATTAAAGGGGACAAAACAGTACAGAAAGACATTGGGAGATCAAGGGAGAGAGGAGGGCAAAAGAAAAAAAGGAAAGGTTGCAGGGTGATACAAAAGGCTGACCATGGAGCAGGGAGAGGGAGGGCTGGGGAACTGAATCAGAGACTGAAGTTGGCTTGAAGTTGGTTCCAACTCAGCCGCTCCTGAAACTTCACAAGAAACAAGAGGACAGGAGATTGACAGCTCAATTGCGCAAGAAAATTCACAGTGAGTAGGTTTGCCTCAAAGTCAACCTAATCATTCTAGTTGTGGGTCTTAGGACCACACCCACTCTGGACTGAGCCTAAGCCACAAGAAATTGGGGTCCTCTGCACTCTGAACTGATGTTTCACACTTTCCCTTTTTTCCCTCAGATCTTACACAGTTGCTCTAGGTTAGGGGACTTGAAATGATAGAAGTTCTAGAAATTCTGTATTGTAGTCCAGGATTTGCCACTTATTGGTGAGACTAGCTTAAGCAAGGGAACCCTGGAGTTTCCTTTTCCTTTGTCTGTAAAAGGGAGATAATAATATATTACCGATGAGCCTTATACGATTTTTCTGAGGACTGAATAAGTTAAGTAAATGTGTATAAATGCTCATAATAGATTGTAATTGCTGGCTAAACAAGAGTTGGCATTAATAATAATTAATGAGTTAATATAGCCTTACTACTCTCAGCAGGGATTGCCTATATGTGTGTGTGTGTATATATACATACATACATGTATATATGCATTTTAATATCTTATTTTACTGTTTGTGGGAAAATTTAAACACATAACTCTCCATTCCAACAGTACTTTTTAGTGCAGTTCTTTGGCAGATAAATAGCAAACCTGGATTCTTTCCTATTTAGCGGCCATCCTATGCTCTTTTTGTTCTCGGTCTCGACTATATTGTCCATTTCTCAACCATACATATAGTGTTTGCTGGCGTCTACCTGGCTAGCAGGGGGAGTGAGTTGTCTGTGTCCTGGACACTGCCACTGAAGACAATGGCACATGTGTCACATGATGTCTCAAGCTCAAGATCAGACTGTAGATGCTTGGAAGAAGCCAATGGAAGGCATGTGATATCATTCTGCTCCCTTTCTGGGATGTTGTTTCATTTCATTGAAATGTGTCAGATGGAAAGGTGGGCGCTGTACCCTAGGTCAGGCTGACAGAACTTGCCTTTGAATACTTCAGCTGGCTTTGTTATCTGTAGCTGACACATTCTTGCTTTCCTCAGCTTCGTGAAGCAGTGTAGTATGGAGGGAAGGCAGTGTAGACCATGGGCAAAGAGTTTGACTTTTTAATCTGTCAAAATGAAATTTTTTTGGCTAGGTGCTGTAGCTCATACCTATAATCCCAGCAACTCAAGAAGCAGACTTTGGAAGGATAGCAGTTTGAGGCCAGCCTGGGCAAAAAGTTAGTGAGACTCCATCTCAACAAATAAGCTAGGCATGGTAGTATCCCCTGGTGATCCCAGATATGCAGGAGGCACAGGCGGGAGGATGAGCTAGAGCAAATACATGACACACCTTCTGAAAAGTAACTGAAGTAAAAGCAGGCTGGGGATGTAGCTCGAGTGGCAGAGTGCCTGCCTAGCAAGCAAAGGGCCTTGTGTTCAAACCCCAGTACTTCCCCTCTAAAGAAAATGAAGTTTATACCACCCTTTTTTCCTACATTCAAATGTCCATTCGAGGAGCACACAAGATTTCACCTGCACACATCAACAGTTTGTATATCTACAAATACTGTATTACTGTTTATGTATCTACAAATACTGTATCATTGTTCTGCTTCATGCTTCTCACTACTGATTTGTCCATACTCACAATCTAAAGTATTTTAAGCACTCTTTCAGCTGTTAATGAAATGAAGTATTTTCCTACTTCTTTTCATCCCCACCAATCACCTGATCAATGAAATATTTATGGAGATGCTAAGTTTAAGTCATATGCCTACTCACCTTCAGAAAGTTAACTTCTTATCAAAATAACATGAAGAATGCACAGTGTGTATTATCTGTAGCTTTCTAAAGCCACCAAGCTCATATATAGTCATTCTTTCAAGTACAGACCTATTGCTCACTGAATGCAAAATATGTACAAATATATACTTAACCAAAATCGTCCACCAATATTCGCAGAGGATACTCACTTACAGAGCAGATTTAATGGGGAAAAGAAACAATCACTTTTATCTATCAGCATTTCAAGTTATTTTAGAATGGAGAAGTGACCACAATACACGATACACAATTCAAGTGGTTAACAATTTATAGATCAATTTCTGCCCTGTTGATGAATATCAGTAGTCTGCCTCTCCTAGACAGACTGTCAGCAGCTTTAGACATTTTTAAATGAGTTTTTTTAAAAAATACATTTGCAAAGTCAATTATTTTGAATCTCATCTGAGGCAATTAAAAAACAACCTGACATTTAAGGTGATATTTTTCCCAAGTAAAATAATTATAAATAATACTAATTATGAACAAATCATTCAGTTACTCTCAGTCTGATTCAACCTTTAGGTTAATAAACCAATCCATTAAAATTCATCTTGCTCAAAGGACCAATTTGTTAAAAAAAAAAATGAAGCGACCTTTCACCGCAAGTATGATTGATATTTTCTTTAACAATTATCAGATCTATCTTTCCCAGAAGAGTGTGGTCAACTGGTAGGTATAGAAAACTAGGGCTCTTTTATGTCTCTCTCAGTAATGCATCACAGACAGGTTCAAAATGATGATGGTGGTGGTGATGAAGAAAATGATGATGACAATGTACCAGTTAAAACTCTAATCTCAAAGAGTACCTTAAAGAGATATCTGAAAGTCTCACAAAATCCAACAATATCATTCTTCGTGCAAGAAAATGAGTTCAGACAGTTCCTCTACCTCTGGTGTTTTATTCATGCCAGTGTCAGGCAGGAAGTTTCAAATATGGCTCAGGGGCCATCTGCTCTACCACTTGTTTTTATTGAGTTTAATTAGAGTAAATCTCTCTCCACTTACATATTGTCTATGACTGCACTTCTACTACAAAGGCAGTGTCTTGACTGAGACCAAATGATCTGCAATACCTAAAATACTTATCAGGCCCTTACAAAAAACATTTGCTAATCCCCCTAATGTAGGGTAATGGGAAAAAAAAACCACCTTTGAATTTACAACAGAAAATCACATCTGAGCATCATTTTATAATGTCTGACCATGTCATGTTGTAGCAGATATTATTATGCTTACTTAACTGATGAAAAAATTGCAAACTTGTCTGTGGTCAGTCATTCTGTCATTAAGTGGTACAGTCGGACTTGGCAGCCTTTAGGGAAACAGGAAAGGAAAGAAAGGACTCTCAAATTCTTGAATGGCAGCAGTGCCACCCAGCTCTCTCATCCCCCCTCAGGTGAGGTCATTGCCAAAAGACAGGGAGGGAGCAAAAATCTTCGCCTGGGTGACCTTAACGTTGTCCTCTGCATCCCCGTTCTCGTGATAAAAAACAGAAAGGAAGGTAAAGTACTTTGCTATCAAACAAAGCTAAGTGTTATTGCATCAAGTCTCGCTTATCTGTCTGCCCTGAAATTGGCACTGTGGCATGGATATTCTGAAACAGAAAATAACAGAAGAGTCTTTGTTTTTGAAACACACTGCCTTTTTAAAAGGTTACTTTTTGAAACAGCAGATCCCCTTTTAATTGTTTCTTTTTTACTCAAATTCATACCAAAATTATATCTCCCCTCTCCCCACTAGCTTATGACATCTACTAGCAAAGTAGCCTACAAGGAGGTAGATATCAGGAAACAGGAAGCCTGGGAAAAACTCTGTCTTTGAGATCCATAGATATAAGACAACAATTGTTTGCAGAGACCAAAGATTTTCTTAATCTTCTGTTTTCAGGGAAAGGGGGTGTTAAATAAATTGAGAAAGATAAGAATAAGAAACTTCTACGTTGAGCCTTTCCTGATGATTCCAAATGAAAGACAAGAATGTAAGCATTGAATTCAACTTTCCATTCAACCAAATTTTATTTTGAGTCTCCACACTTTCAGGTACTGCTAAGAGATGGACTATTGGCTAAGATTCCTATTCTTTAGGGAATGATTATATTAATGCACCAAAATATGTGTCTATCTGTGTTTATAACAAACATTAGAAATAAGCATTAGAATGGTGTACAGGTAAAAGTCATCATTAGCATACTTCAATTGTGGGATCACAAAAGATACTGTGGAAGAAGTGGCATTGGGTGGCATTTGAAGAATGTATAAGCTTTAGACATATGGAAATGGAAGGGGTGGGTATTCTAGGTAGAGACAGAGAGAACAAAGTCAAAGAGAGAAGGGTAAGGCTTATTTGTGTTCTGAAGATCTTTCTTTGTATGAAGAGCTTATGGTTATATGAGGCGAGAAAAAGGTAAAGGAGGTGAAACAGGTCAGAACCAAATTCTGGAGGGTCTTGGATTATAGGTTAAGAAGTTTGGTATTTATTCTGTAGATGGTGAGACCTATTGAATATTTGTATGCAGGAGAATTATAAGATGGGGAAGTGACAAAATCTTGTAGTTCGGAAAAGAGCATCCTAAATGTTTGATAAGAACTTGGGGACAGGTCACCAGTTAGAGGCAAGGTAACAAAATAATCCCTTTACCTTGTTCTCTAGTAGCAAGATTGAAGTCTGCAATGACCTTGACTATTGTAGATTATGGCACAAGCTGAGGGCTTTTTGAGGGCATTTATTTAATGGCATGCCAGTGGCATTTACTCATAAAACCAAAAAGCCATTGGGGCCAGAAATAGGGATTTTGGTTACTTCCCCAGACAGGATACAGTTTGGGTGATTATATGGATGATTCATTGAGGTCGGGAAATAAATCCTCCACAAACATACACCCCTCCCCTCCAAGTCCAGTGACTCATGTCTTCTTCAATTTGATACATGGAAGGCTCTGGAGTCCAGGCAGAATTTAAGGTATGATGATAAATCATAAATCTTTAGCATTCTTAGTTATAAGAGAAACATTTCTATCCATTCTTTCAATTTTCAAGTAATAAGCATTTGTTGAACTCCTACAATTTTAGACTCAAAGGATGTGATGTCATAAGACAGTTTCTGCTGTAAAATATTCCACAGTAGAGTTGGTAAAACAGATGTAAATAAGAATTCCCCCAAAGGATTATACTAGAGAAATGAAAACAGAACTAAAGAAACCAATGGAAAGACCCCATGACTGTTTTGAAGTTAAGTCTTAAAGAATAGCTATTCATCATTCTACATTTAGTAATTTGTGCACTTGCTATATGCCAAGAACTGTTCTAGGTTTGAGATCTCATGCTTTTGTGGAACTGACATTCTAGTGAGAAGACCCAAATATTAAAGATAGCCATGAACCAACCAAATAAATCTCTCTCCTCAGGGAGTTTACAATTTCATAAAGGAACATTTCAGAGAGCAGCAATTAGCACCTAGTTCCAAACAAGAATAATGTGGGCAAAAAGAAGCATGAATGTGGCCCCTTGGAGTGAATGGAGGAAGAAACCTCAGGTTTGAGGACACTAAATATGACATGCCTGAATTATTCACATGCCTAAATTAGGATGAAAAACTGCCCTCCACTGTTTGGTTAGAGTGGATAGACAGAAGATAGATACTATCCTTCCATGGGGAGTCTAGCCCTGAGTCTCCAGACACTGACTTTGCAATTTTCATTAGGCAAACGGAGTCAATGATTCAGGATTTTGAGTACAGAGGTGTGGAGTCATTGATAAATTTTTTTACCTTTAATCTGACTGATCAGTAATGGCTCACTGCTATGAAAAAAAAAAAAACTTACGATACTGGACAGCTCCTTGCTTAAATAACATTCAGGTCAAATTTTATAACAACCACCTCTGGCTTGATGGCAATACTTAGTTCTCATTTTATCAGGTTGTCTAAAATAACCAGGTCGTGAGGTGATTATTGTTATGGTACTCATTGGAACGGGATTTGACCTATATAAGGAAATGAATTAGGACAGAAATAATTTCTCAGCCCATTACAGACATGGAGAAATCCAGTTTAAGCAATCACAGAATCACAGAGCTGGAAGAGACTCAAGGTAACCTGCAGTGATCATGGTACCTGCCTCTGGGCAAATATATGCCTGTCTGAGATGTTAACATAAATTCCAGAATTCATTATTTTAACAAGTGCTTAAAAACATGCCTATTCTGAATATTATAGCTTCCTTCAGGGTACTGATGACTAGCTTTGGGCAAAACATCTTTGAACCTCCTATTTTACAGTGAATTCAGAGCCTATAGCATATCCTTTTAATATACTCAGTGGGAGAAAATAGTTGTGTCTGGAGTATATTTTCTGTTTTCAAAGATAATCAAGTAGCGTATCTCATTGGTCTAGCTGGATAAGACCTTTTTTTTTATTAAAAATGGATTTAAGTGCAACTATAAAATTATAAGCTGATGTTTTTTTGCCTTATAACTGGTTCAAAAGGGACTTCCCAGAAATTGCAAAAGTGATCAGTACATATTCTCCCAGATGGCCAATTTGAGGTATATGGCTAACTAGTAACTTGTGCTATTTCCCACTGTACTTGGTGAACTGCTTAAGGTCAAGGAGCATGCCTTGTTTTACTGGCCTACCTCTGAAGCAGGTACATCTTGGGGCTGAGTGTTTGAGTGAATTAAAAACAATAAGGAATTACTTTGTAGTCATGCCATGAATGCTTTGTCCATTTTCATCAGATATGAATCCTATGATAACCTCTTACCTTCAGGCTGACTCGCCAGCAAGTAGCAAGTCTTTGAGGGGATAGAAGAACTGTTGTGGGAAGAAAGTCCTGGTTCTATGTAAACTGGTAGGAGTAAGATGGCAGGCTTTGTGATAGAACTTAGCCTGTGTCTCCATCTTTAACGGAAAGGATCCACTTGAGCAGTAGTCTCCAGTAGCCTCTTTGTGTCTGTTTCTGTGGTATGAGATGTTTCTAAGGTTGTAGTGTTGGTCAGGACTCTTGACTGACAGGAACCCAGCTTGATTTAGTTTAAGTAAAAAAATAAAAAGCCAAACTCCAGGAAGGGATGGGATAAACCAAGCTGCAGGAATTACCAGAATTGAGTAATTTCTCATCTCTAACTCTTCCTTCCACTTTGTCCTCCGCTTCTCTCTCTGGGCCAGCTTTCTTTTCTCAGATCTGCTTCCTCCAGGAGGCTGGAGAAATCTGTAAAGCCTCCAGGAAGTTCCTCTGAGCCAGGAAAACAAGATGACATGATCAGCAGTGCTATTAGAACCAGCAGGCTGGGTGAAGAGAGGGTTGCTGGACTGCTATAAGCAGTCAAAATAAAATAGTCTGCTAGAGCCTGCCTTCCCCTTTTCCACCCACTTCAGCCTTACTCCTCTGGGCTCCATGAAAAGCATATGGTAGTGTCCTGCTCTCCTTTCTAGACCATATTTTACTTTGCTTTCTCTGAGATCCAGCTGCTGGGGCAGCACAGTCTCTTCCTGTCTTTGCTCTCAAAACCCCTTCTGCCCACCTCTGCCAGGAAAGTACAACTTGTCATGGTGCCTATCTTGTTTTCTTTTCAGGCTTTTTTTTTTTTGCCTCACCTATGAAACTGGGATTCCCCAAAGGTGCTAACTGCCTTAACTGGCTCTGGATTGCTTTATCTATTCAGATATGTATTTACTGCCTACTATGTACTAGGTTCTGAGGGTTGCTAGAGAAGTAACCTGGGAATCCTATTCTAAAGGAGATCAAGGTCAAGTGGGAAATGTGTGAGAAACAGACACGTGTAGTGGAATACAGTGAGATGAGCTCTGAGTGGGAATGGACAGAAGACCCCCACATACTCCCACTCCCATTAAAGACGATGAAGGGCAGAGTTACCAGAGGTGAGAAAGGGGCCACACCTGGTCTGTACTGAGTCCTGTTGATTGGGATTGAGCCTGGTTGTTTGAGGACTGGTGAGGGGCCAGTCTTTATAGTAAGAACAGTATATGATAAGATCAAGGTTGACTGCAATGACAATATAATTGAAGGCTTATGGTTGGGTGGGATAGATAAGATAGAAATACATGAAATAATTGGAAAATAAGACACTTTTTCTTAATGAAGGCCTGTTTTTAAATTACAATGCACTAGGGGTATAAAAAAGAACAGGATCACTATGAATTACTCAGGAAATTGCTCAGAAAATGTGGGTCTTATCTCCTTCATGAGGAGATGATGGTGTTAAATGTGAAGTCAGAAAGTCTAGGTTTCAATCTCACTTTGCCAAGTATTAGCTTGGTGACAGTTTCTCATCTCTAATTTCTACACCATAAAATGCAAACATTAAGATCCATCTCTCAGAGTTTTACTGCAGATAAAATGAGACAGTAAATGAAAGTACTTAGTAAACAGTAAAGCATTTTACAAACAAATTATTCTCGAAATCTGTTTATCTGTAAAACAAAATTCTTACTTGTCAAGAGTATTCAGAAGATGTAAAAAGATACGTAAGTATAGTCACATGGGAAGATGCTGTATTCACATTAAGAGAGTATATTAATTTACTGACTGGCTAAAAATCCTGGTTAATGCTATTACAAAATTCATGCCATGTTAGTGAGTTGACTATGGCTTTTAACATACATCTGACATTGAGAATAGGGCAGGGTAGGCAGTCTGACACAACTAGTCATGCGATGAACTAAGAATTAAGTGGTTTGGGTGGTCCAAGCATAAGGTGTTTGCCTACTGAGTGAAGTGTACTCTTGTAAATGGAAATTTTACCTGCGGGTATCCTCTCATGATAAAACTCTAATGATAAAAAAAGATGGGAGCATTTTAAAGTTCCACTCTTAGGAGTATTCTGGAAAAAGTGTGATCCTGTCATATTGTGTGAGTTAGTTGTATGCTCTGGTCAGGTGGGGAGAGGGCAGGGAACTGCATCCAATAAATACAGAAGGCCTGCTAAAGGAATCCAGCCTTTCCCAAGTGCATCTCCAAAGCTGTGGGTGAAACATTAAAAGGTATCAACAAGTGTGTGCAGGCACACAGTGCAAATAAATAATCTCTCACTCCTTTTGTTTCTTCAATTCCAGAGAGTCCGTGGTACTCTTAGAAGAAGAACGCCCTGCCTTGTCTCCCTCATTCCCCACTGATGCCAACACTGAGCTGAACACTACAAGGGAGAGTGAATCCATTGCTTCTCCATGTTGCTGTGAAGGTGGCTGGAAAGCATGCAGTAGGACACTAAAGATTTGGCACTTACTCTCATTAACTGATGAATTTGGAGGACCTAGAAGTGGAAAGCCAGCACTCCCAGGTATGGGGTCAAAGTCACGGCCAGTTGGTAGTCCTCTCCCTATCCCCTTATTCCATCCACCTGTATCTAATGCCTTTGTAAAGCATATGTAAGGAAGGGGAGCCTGGTTCCCTTCCTTGACTAGGAGGTCAAAGAGACATCAATACAAGGAGAGACAGTAGACCCTTGTTATCCATGAATATAATATGGTTCCAAGGAGACCACCACTGAGGAGAAACTACGAATGCTCAGGATGAAGAGAGTTCAGTGCTGTACTGTGGATGCTTGATTCATTTTTCCCATAATGTCACCCAATTTCCACTGAAGACATGCTGCCTTTCAGCAAATCTATTATTTTCACACTGTCACTTAAATTAAGCACATTAACTTATACCTTTCTTTTTTAAGTACTTTTACTTTTTGGGAACTATACCTTGTTTTCACAAAATTAAGAGCAAGGAAACACTCAGAAAGTTACACATGGGACTGACTGAAAGCTTCTCACATCCACTGAACTTCCTCATGTGTGTGTGGGAATTTTAATTTTCTGTTATTGAAATTTCTTTTGATATTTATTTATTTGACCATGTTAGTCAAAACCATATCATAAATCCACAAATAAGGTAAGCTTACTATATTCTGTGATCAGATAAGTGTAAGAAATGCTGAATATTCTCCCATTTAAAGATTCAAAATGCATATATGCTTATTTAAAGCTATAAAATAAAATAAAATATTTGAATTTGGCTTTCCCAAAGTTATTTGACTTTAGAACTGTTTTATTCAGTAATCTCATTAACATCTTGAATACCTCTTATTCCTAGATAGTGGGAAAATGCTATTCTTAGAGAAATCTCAGCGCACAAATAGTTTTATTATACCCTGAAGCCCATGACGTAAGTGAAAGGAAAATAGAACATGGTTTAGATACATGTTGCAAATAGAAGATCCATGTTTACCATTCCAAGGATTCTTTCAAACAGCCCACTCGTTATTAAATTGGAGGTCTGTTTGGGAGGGGTCTGAAGTAGGCAATCAGCACTAGAGTCTATTTGTCCACTAATGTTCTAGTTCCAAAATTAATTTTTAAGGAAATTCTTTTCCATTGTACTTGATAGATCTCATGGAAAATTATTTGAAAATGTTGAAAGTGGGTCTTCCTCTCCTCACCTCCCTTGGCCCTTTTGCCTTTCCTTCTAAAGAATGATTGTTGGTTTTGATTTACACTTTTATAGTTTGTATTTGATGGGACCCCTGCTGGACAAGGGAAAGAGTAATCGCTGGTAGTTTTAACTGTAATCACAGAAAAATTCTTTCCTTTCCTTCAACCTTTCCATTGCTCTGTGATCATGAGCCATGTCTTTAATAGAACCTTTCCAATGAGTGCTAACGTTGTATTTTCTTTCCATGGCTCTCCAAAGTATTTTGTCTTCCTACCCACAAAATAGCCAGGGAGCTATCTGGAAATGGGATTAATTCTACTCATCACACATATCACTTTGTGCCTCCTGGACAGAACCTTCCTTGATCAACTTTTTTATCTCTAATCACTCTTTCCACAGCCTCTCTTCAGAAGGTATCCACAGGGTGTTATTTTACTTATAGCGACACAGTGCTTTGCAGCTGACCTCTGTCCATTCACCTCTGTGTTTTCTCTGCCATGTAGCATTGAAAGTTCATTGGAGACAAGTACGATATATTCAATCCTTTCATACTGTCTTCAAAGTCTCACGTGTGGTGTTCTGAACACAGTAGTCATTTGTTTATCTGAATTGATTTAAGAATAATTTACATGAAATGAATGTGAGGATTTCAACTCAGCTCCTGGGCTTTATATCAATATGATCAGATTGCTGGATCTCAGTTCAGATCCCAGATCCTAAACATCAGTCAGCTTTAGGTCCTGGATCAGGTTATTTATCTTCTCTAGACTTTCCATTTTCTCATATTCATAAGGGAAATATGTCATCTAACCTTTTCCTAAAGGATTAAATGAGGAAGGGAAGTTAAGATTCTGGTGTCAAATAGTTAAGGGTTTAAGTTTCATTTCTGTTTCTTCCTTGTTAACGTGATACTGAGGAAGTTAGTTGATCACTCTGAGCCTCATTCTCTAATCCATGGGTTAGAGTCCATAATAGGATTTATTTCATGGAGTTGTTAGAATGCTACCTGACACCAAGTAAGCAGTTAATTAATGTAACTATTACTAATCGAACACCTAGGATAACTGACACCAGAGGGCTTAACTCAGATAGACTTTAGTTCTTTCTTCTGTGAATTCCCACCTTTAAAACTATAGCCATGGCAGATGCACTTAGTAGATCTGTTGGCTAAAGGGATCTAATGTGGAAGGTTCACTGGATGGATGGCATTTGGACTGTTGTACCTATCTTACTTGACACCAATTTCTTTGGGAGGAAAGACTTAGGAAAATACCAAGTTCTCTGCGTTGAAAAAAGCTTGCATTCTCAAAGTGTGGGTTGGAGGCATTTTTTATTGAACACAGCCATTTTATGTCATGTTGATTTCCTCAGGATATGAATCAGAGAAAAAGCAGTGAAGTCTTGTCCCAGGGAGAAAAGGGAAGACTGGCAGAGAATTTTTCACTGGTAAGGCAATTTACACACTTGTCCTTTTCATAATGAGTCATGGGCTATGATACATTTCATAGCAATGTCTATGAGTTTCCAAATCTGGAATTAGACATGCCAGCCAAATAAGGGAGAGAGAAGAAAACAGTCTCACAATCCACGTAGTTACCATTCACCAAGTTCTAGAAGGGGACTTAATGAAAGTGATTACCCTAGCACCCCACTTTTAGTCATAGCTTTAAGCTCATGAAGAGAGAATTAGCTAATCACTTTCAAAATCTCCCCAGAAGAGGAATTCAACAGCATTTTTCAATAACCAGTTTTACTATTCCAGAAAAAAGTCTTCCAAAGCTCTAAATCTTTTTGCTATGACCCGAAGCTAACTTTTCTATTTTTCATTATTATTATATTAGCTGACCTAAGCTTGTCATAAACTGACACTGTTTTTTAAGTTAGTAAAGCCTAATTTAAAATTTTCTAATAAAGAAATTTTAACTCACTGAAAAAGCTCTCTTATGCCCAATTTTTCCTGACTTCCAGTCATTTGGATCTGCTATTCTGAGTCAGCTAATCCAATAATAAAATTTAAACAATAATATTTTACTATAGTCACTTGGGTACTCCTAAGTCATTGTCTTATTTTTACCTGTTAATCTCCATAATAATAGCAAATAAATAGCTAATCCAGGAGCTAGCACTAAGCAAGTACTTAATATATATTTATTATATAGAATTAACATCTAAAAGAAAAATCCAAGGAATCAGAGACGTAGTCATGACTTTGTCCATAACAGTGTGACTTTCGTTAGGTCACTGAGCTTCTGCCATGACATATGTAAGATGACATGGCTTTAAGGGACTAGTAGGAATGTAACAATCCCAGGAAATTAGGCCTCAGTAGATGCTTGTGTTCAACTAGATGAAGTTCTAGTATTTAAATAAATAATCTACTAACTGATGGATTTTGTGTGAATAATCAAAGCAAAAGGGGCTCTTGATGACCTACTTGATGGATTTGTATTTTTAATTATAAGTCATTTTTGATAAATTCTTGTAACCTTCAATTTCTGTTTTTATTCCTTAATTCACATTCCATTGTGGTCATCTTCGCTGTTGAAATGGAATTGTCAAATTGACAATACGTTGAGAAATGCTTTGTTTAAATCTGTATTCAGAAGTCCCAACAGGAAGCTCTTGGAGCAAGCAGCTCAGAGCATTGTGAAATCAGTTAAATTAGGCTTCCGGAATATGTGAGCATTTTCCCACTTTCTCATTAATCTGAGGCAGAATGCCCAGAAAGAGTAATTCACAAAGGTTAGTGCAAGAGAGAAGTCCATTGAGTCATTGTTGGGTGCTGGATGACCGAGCAGATTTAGTGCATTTGTTGCTGAAAGAAGTCTCTACTTTAATGTTGCCTTCCTAAGAAAGTCATTGTCAACTTTCAAAGGAACAATTTTGCTTTGTCAATGGTTCACAAACCTGAACAGCCATCAGAATCACCTGGGGGCCTTATGAAACCATAGATGGCTGAGCACTACCCTCAAAGTTTCTGATTTTGTCAGTCTAAGGTGGGGTAAATCCCAAGAATTGCCATTATAACAAGTTCTCTGGTAGCACTAATGCTCAGGTTTGGGGATCACACACTGAGAACATAGTGCTACTTACTACATGTTTCCCTTAGGATGGACAAGTGTGACTGCTATTCTTCTCTGAGACTACTGTCATGAAATAAGACATAGATAAAGTGCCCATGACACAAACCGCAGGCAGACATCCAAGGGTCAGAGTATCTGTATAGAACTACAATGAACATTAGAAAAAGAAAGTCAGACTTTTTTGTCTGACTTTTTTGTTTCTTTATTTTGGTGATTATGGAGATGGAAATTACGGCCTCTATTGAGCCATGCCCCCAATCTTTTTGTTTTTCGTTTTTCAGATAGTGTCTTGAGTTTTTGTATGGGGAGGTCTTGAACTGAGATCCTCCTACTTCCACCTACCAAGATGCTGGGATTGTAAGTGCATACCTCCTGCCCAGCCATTTGGTTTCTAGCTTTTTCATGACTTCGCAGAACACATTAATGTGGCCTGCTCAAAACTCATTGTTTTTTCCCACATTTTTTATTTGTGCACATTTTTGTTTTTAAGTGTGCAATGTTGTGGATTTCATTGTGCTATTTCCACATAGGCATGTAATATACTTTGATTATATTCATCTCCTCTATTCCTCTTTCTTAAATCTTCTGAAAATATATTGCTTGAATATTAACAGCAAAAGAGCAAAGATATGTCTCCATTTTCTTTCAGTTGTCATTCTGGGTTGTCATCTGTTTCCCAGCAACTGGGCCTGTACTCAGATATGCTGCCCTCTTGCTTTATGATCTAATTAGACACTGGCTGATAATCCTTTATCAAACTATTTAAGTCGAGTTCTTTTTTCCTATAGGCACAATACTATCAATTCCAGGTCTTTCCTTGGAAGTCCCTGTCATTGACTTCAATTCAGCTCAATACTCATTCAGTGACTGCACTTTTGGGTGCTTAGGAAAAGATAGACACCAGTCCCTGCCCTTGTAGACCCCACATTCTATGAGACAGAGGCAGACAGTAAACATAATACATAAAAATCAATATATTATATTCCTTGTAGTGGATGTTATGAAAAAAAGGTTCAAGGCTTCAAGGACTGACAGGAGAGGCTTGTGTGTATGATTGCAAATTTAAATAGGAGATTGTGCTCAGATTGGAGCAAAATCTGCGGGAGGTAAGCCATAAGTACATACCTGTGAAGAGTGACACAGGTAGAGAGAATGCACAAAAGGCTAAAGGCAGATTAAGCCAGCACATTAAGGAACAGCAAACAGGCTAGTATGGTTGAAGTAATGGGTGTTAAGAGAAAGGAACAGGTCAGAGAGATAGCAGAGAGGCAAGGACAAGGCCACATGAGATTCAGGTCATTAAAAAAGACTGCCTTCAATATGAGTAAAATGGGAGCTGCTTTGAGGTATTGTGGAAGAGCCAAAATTTTTTTTGGTGGTACTGAGGTTTGAACTCAGAGCCTACACACTTGCTAGGCAGTCATTCTACCACTTGAACCAGTCCCCTCCAGCAGCCCTTTTCTTTGTTTGATATTTTTGACAAAGGGTCTTGGGAACTATTTGCCCTGGGGGTGGCTTCTAACCGATCCTCCTGATTTCTACCTCTTAAGAAGCTAGGATTACAGGCATAAACCATGGGTGCCTGGCTGAGAGCTGAATTTTTAAGGATAGATTGCGATGTTATGTTGAGATTAGACTGAGCAGGACAAGGACAGAAGCAAAGAGACTAGTTAGGAGACTATGCCAGTAAGGAAAGCAAGAGATGCTGTGGCTAGCTAGAGCCATTGGTTGGACAGTGAAAGTGACAAACTCTTGTGTAATTCTGGGTATACTTTGAAACTATAATTCAACAAGATTTCGTGATAAATTAGATGTAGAGTATGTGAGAAAAAGGAAGCCAAGTTTTGGCTTTAGCAACTGGAAAGATGAAAATGCTATGAATTGAGATGGCGGTAGGAATATGCCACAGGTTTGTGTGGCATATTTGGATTCTGGTGTTGAACACAATGAACTTGAAATGACTGCTAGATGCCTGATTGTAAATGTCAAATTGGTTGTGAATCATGCATATGTGGGGCTTGTAAGAATATGTTGAGTGTGCCTGGGTTAAAAACAGAGATTCAGGAGTCTTCAACATGTTGGTACTAAAAACAGTGAGGCTGAATGAAACTATCAAGTGAGTGGGTGTAGATAAAATAGAGAAAGAAGACAGGGACCATGCCTGGACTTCTACAGCATTAAGCAGTCAAGAAATAAAATGAGGAAAATCAAAATAAAAGACAATACCATCAGGTAGACACTAAGAAGTGACCACTGAACTAAGAAGGTTCAGTGTACTAAAACCAAGGGCAGAAAGTATATCAAGTAGAAGAAAAATAGTGCTAAGTGCTACCCAGAGATTTCACAACTAGATATTATGGATGACCTGAACAAGAATGTAATTGGATGACATGGTGATGGTCAAAGCCTGGTTTAAGTAGCTTCTGAGAGAATAGAAAGAGAGCACTTAGAAACCATGAGAAAAGCTAATTCTTAAGGTTCCTGCCAAAGAAAAGAAATGATGGAAACAGGTGGGAAACATGGGGTCAAGTCCAGGGATTTGTTGTTGTTGCTTGGTTTCAGTAGGAGAAATGGCAATATAATTGCACACTGATGGAAATGTTCTTGTAGAGAGAAACAGATTAATATTTTAGGAAAGATAGGAGAATTCTTTAAGCCATTTTGTTGGGCTGGCAAATAGTGACAGCACCTAGTGTCCAAGTGGAAGACTTGGCTCCTGGGAGGAGATAGGATCTTTTCCTCCACAGCAACAGGCCTGTTTAGGGTATAATATCACTGATACAGGGGCGAGATATGGTGGTGGGACCCTGTGTAAAATCTCTTTTGATTCCTTCATTTTCCCCATGAAGTAGGGAACATTATCTCCTAAAATCTCAAAACTTGTTTGAAAGAAAGTAAGGTTCAAATATATGCCTTTGTAAATATTTATCCAAAAAATAAAATGAAGCCAAACATAATTCAAAAAGTATGTCATAATGTTCTATTTTAGAAAATTTTTTTTCTAAGTGAACCGATTGACTAAGGTTTCTAAGTAGTGATCTCTTGTGTCTTTTCAACAAAGGATTCTTCTTTTCCTGGCAAACATTTCTGTATCAAGCATAGACATTCTCCTCTCTCCACTAACCTTTAAATTTATTCATCACTAGGAGTACTTACAGAGAAAGTTTTCATTTTCCAGTTCTACATGCATAAGTATTGGTAACATTCTTTGGATGTTAAACGTGAATAATTTCCATGAGAAAATTTTTCCCTCGGTCCCCTGCTCTTCATTTCAACAAGATGGCTGATCTCCACCAACTTGTCAGTTTCACACTTTATATCTAGCTGCAGTTCTTAAAGAGATATAAATAAGAATTGGGTTATTCTTACTTTGATAAATTCATAAACTTAAATCAGAGATTAGATATACCTACATGCCTTAAACAAGAAAGATAATGGAACCCTTAACCTAAGTCGTCTCTTCTCTGGAATAAAAAACAAACAAACAACAACAACAACAAAAAAGACTGGAAGACAGAAACTGTATTCTAGTTCTTTGCTTGAAAAAAGTTATAAAACACTACTCAGTAAGGCACTGCATAAATGTTTTGTAATGATAATTGTTTTAATTTGGGGTGCTATAACAAAACCCATAAACTAGGTTGCTTATAAACTATAGAAATTTATTTCTCACAGTTCTGGACTCTGGAAGTCCAAGAACTTCCAGAGTCTAGTCCAATCATGGTCATGTTTGGCTAGAGCCCTCTTACGTGTTCCACATGTTCCAGTGCTCATTGTGTGTTTGCATGGTAGAAAAAAAGAGTGAGAGAAGTCCCTGGGGTCCCTTTTATAAAGACACTAATCCCATGCATGAGGGCTCCACCTCATGATGTAATTTTTTTCCATAGTCTCCACCTCCTAATCCTATCATTCATGGTTTAGGATATCAGCACATGAGTTTCAGAGGGACACAAACACTGAGTACATTGCAGTAATGAAACATACTTACATAAGATAGATGTTCAAGCAATACTCATTGGGATTTTTTCACAAGATAATCAATTTAGTTCAAAACGAAAGAGGAATCACCCCAGTATTGAACTCATAGGGTTGTAAGAGAAATGAAATGAAATTTTCTATGTTAAATATTTAATACAGTTCACAGTTCATGGTAAGTTCCAATAGATCATTGTGGTAGGTAAAAGGTAACAAAATTCCTTAAAAGAGATTCAATAAAATGGTCAAAGTAAGAGGAATGTTCTAAGCTATACTTTTTTCAGGAGAAGGTTAATAGGTTACTATAGCCAATATTACTTTATTGAGAACCAAGATTTGACAGCATGTAGGAGTCCATGTGGACAAGAAAGAGGCATTCAATTTTATATGCTAGTCACCATAGTAAAGCATCTTATATATACATTTATTTAATTCTTACGATAGTCCTGGAAGATAAATTGTATTAACCCATTTGTATGGATGAGGAAATTGAGTTGAAGAGAAGTGATTAAGTGCTACAACGAGAAAACTCTCTGCAAAATTTTAAGTAAATTAAGACTAACTCTGTCTATTGAGCTGTCCATAAAAGAGCAAAACCCTCACCAAGGTCACTATGGGATTTGATTCCTAGGCCCCCAGTCTTCTTTGCACTATACTAAGTTATTAAATTGCACATCTAAATCCAACTCAAACTCAAATGTATGTGATTTTTTGGTTTGGTCAGAATCGAGAAGTCAGTTTACTTTGCTATTGGTTATAGGATTTAGTTTATGCTTCTGAATATGTCAATACCACTCTTTGGTGTTAATGAAGGTTGAGGACAAAAGAAAAGTCATACCTTTTGTCCCATGTGGACAAAAGCTCTTAAGCGTTCCAGAAAACCATAGTATAGTTTCTTTGGAACCTTACTGTCTCAAACTCAAATTAGTATTGTTCTGGTTGATTAAAAACAGAATGTTCCTCCCCTCTTTCTATAAGAATGCAGAAAAAGAGAGAGAGAGAGAGCTCTAATTAAAATTTTTTTCTATTCAGAACAAAAGAATATCAATTGGAACAATAACTTTCTTTTTTTCAAGGGGAAAATCAAATTGTAGTAACTAGGTTTTAATAGCTTTCTGGAGAATTCCAAGGATGTCATATCTCATTCATTCATGGTAATCAGTTGTTGAACACCAAATAGCTTCATTTATGAATGAAGAACAGGTTGGCTGGCAGTCAAATTACAAATACACTATTTTACATCTGACTTTATTCTAGAACAATCACAACAAAAATAAATCAATACAAGCATTTTGAAAGCTTAAAGGGAAATGGCAAATCTCCAATTCTTAAAACTTTCAGGTTTTTTTTTTCTTAAGTTGTGAAAAAGTAAACTCTCCACTCAGTGTACAGATAGGATAAATTGGCTGAACATCAAAAGGGCTTTCCTTTCTACAGCCTGAAGCTTGAGTGGGTGGGGTGGAGTTCTCATTGGGGAAGGGGGAAGAAAACTGCCTGGATTTCCATTATGAGTTTGCTATGAAAATAACTGTATGAAAATATATGAAGGATTTACTAAGGAGTTTCAACTTTCTTTTTCCCCAAAGAATTTTAAAATCTGCTTAGCATCCATCCTGGATAACCTAGCTGCTCTTTCAGCCACAGATGGACTTCGGCACTAAGGATTCTCATAGGCCCAAAGATGTGGTCAAACTGTTCCCTCCTTCCCATCTCCCCTGGACCTTTTCATATGGTATACGCACGTCATACTATTATGCTACAAGTGAATAGGGAGTTCCATTTGTTCCACAATTTCTCGTTTCCTCGTGGCCATCTCACTTGTTCCTTCTGGTTTCTTACAGAAGGGCTGAAAAAAAATCCCTAGAGAGAGGCAGAGAAATAGCAAGGAGGTCAGGGACCCAACAGGGCTTCCTCCAGCGTTAGGCAACTTCATCTGAGGAGCCTGTGACTCATCCTTGAATTCCCACACCCAAAGGACTTCCTCAAACCACAGCCCCCCCAAATATGTTGTTTAACGTTTTCTTTAGTGGTGCGATCTTGTTCTGAGATCACAGGGAATGCTGAGTTTTACTCGGGTTCTTTCAACAAAACGCATCTAATTGTCACTGCCCTTGAGTGAGTGCTGAGTCACTCCCACAGCCTCCCAGCATTCCAGACACCTCACCCTTTCCTTTCCTTTTTCCTTCGTTTCTTTTCTTTTAAAGTCCTTAATTTTTTTTGTTCCCAACAGATTTGTCTTCCGAAAACACTGAGACTTAGCTGCTCCACGGGGCTTCCTCACTTCTGAGGTGAGTATAATTTATATTTCTAACCCTCATGCAAGTGACATAAAAGAGTATTTTCCCAAGTTGCTGTAGAAGAACTGCCTTGTTTGATCTTTGCGATGCTGGCACTCTTTTAGAATTAACTATGAAAAAAATTTGATGACACTTCCACGCTTCTTGTAAAATACATCTTCGGGGTAATTTTGCGGTGTGTCTTTTCCTTTGAATGTTTTAAAGGGCTGGATTTCCGTCTTTTTCGCAGAGCATTCTAGCAGCTGTCTCTCATTTACTTTGCAAGGGCATTTGAAGAAATTGCTATTTTGGAAACTGCTTAACATATGGGATAATTGTTTTAAAGCACTTTACAGTTTGCATAGTGTTTTCCTATTAGTCATTTCTCATAGATACGATACCCAAGATGTATTATTTTCTTTTTCCAGAAAAGGAAATAGAGGTGCTGAAGAGATACTGTAGCAGCAGCTTGGCAGAGCAATTTTTCTCTCTCCTGAATTAATCAATGAATTAAACTTTCTTCCTTCAGATCCTTTAACACCTATGACCAGAAAGCTTTGTGCTTTTGACCTAAATATGTAGACAGATATGTGTAAAGCGCTTTGCAGACATGTGTGGTCTGGAGAGTCTTAGGTTTGCTTTAACAAAGAGCTTTGTGGACACTTGAACATTGGGCACTGTTGGATGGGCACACTATCTAGCTGTTTTTATTAAAGGTGACCTGGTGGGTGGCTAAAAGCATGAGTTTTAGAGTCAAGTTGCTTGGGTTTAAACTCAAACTTCAACTGTGTGATGCTCGTGAATTACTTTCCTTCTCTCAGCCTTATTTTTTTTTCTGTCTGTGAAAGGGAGCAGCAGTATCTCCTTCATTGACTAATTACTGAGAAGCTCAATTGACCTCTAACAGATAAAGCTCTGAGCACTGCATCCAACACACAGTAAGCCCTCAGCAAGTGTTAGCTGTTACCATAGTGTGGTTCAAAAGGTGACCAACTGGTCACTTTTCCTGATGCTCATTTAAGTTTATTTATTTCATAAAATTATACGAGTCAAGATCAACTGGGGATAGTTAGGGTTCTTCAGAGGAAATTGGTAGGGTAGAAAGAAGTTATATTAGTATTTCCTCTGCTTTTGAGAACTGTGATAATTATAACATCTCACTCATTCTGCTCTTTAAAATAGAAAGCAGCAATGTTGTTCCTTCTGAATTATGTGTAATGTAGCAAAGACCTCATTCACAGATGCCCATGGTATTCCAAGCCAGCACATTTGGAAAGGCAAAAGATGACATGGGTTTTCTCACAGTTCAAGGTGAAGTGAGATACATTTGGGACAAGTTGGGAATGGCTTCTTGTTGGAACATAGGACTGGGTCTCCAACTTCTATGCAGAGAAACTAAAGTATAAGAAGCAACATGGTTTGCCTAGAATACCCAGCAGAAACTTCTTGATACCCTTGGCTCTGCTAGGTGCTGAAATGCATGTGCCAGTGACCAGTGATTCTTATAATTATAATGCCTATAGGATGACCGACTTGTTCCCTGTTTGCTTGGGACATTCCCATGGCTATGTCCTGGGAACCTCTTCAGTCCCGGGAAAATCCAAGAGAGTTGGTCACCATAAACACCTACTTGTCTTACCTTACTGTGTTCACCACATGGGCAATAGACACAAAGGAACTTTGATATTTTATGAACTGAAGAGTATAAGAGTATAATCGATTCTGAACACCTAAGGTCCAAAAGTAGTGCTGTTAGACTAAAATAGGTGGATGTGAATGACAAATCTTATTAATGGGTATTCCATGCTCAATACCATCTTAATGAATTTATGTACTTGAAGTTGACGTTATGCACCAACACTCATACAGAACATCTAGGATGAGTATTTTTAGGTTATAACGAAGATAATTTGCTTTGGAAAGACCTCATTTTTACTTCTTGGAAACTTGCATTTTACACCCAAGCCATGTTTTGGAAGTGATGACTACTTACAATAAACTAATTAATGATTTATCTTACAAAACTTCAAAGAAAGACTAGAGATGTAACTCAGTGGGGGAGCAATTGCCTACCATGCACAAGGACCTAACAGCACAAGAAAACAAAACAAAACTTCTTGGAGCCACACATGGTGGTGCACACCTATAATTGCAGTACTTGGAAGGCTGAGGCAGGAGGATTGCAAGGTCAGCCTGGTCTACATAAGTGAATTCCAGGTTATCCTGAGATACTTCTAAAGACCCTGTCTGAAGAAACCAAAAAAGAAACAAGAAAAAAAAAAAAGGAAGGAAGGAAGAAAAGAAGGAAGGAAGGAAGGAAGTCTTTAAAGGTAAACAAAACAGTCAGGAAAGATGCAAGATGGACTGTCTACTTGGTAGACATCAGAATATCAGTGCACACCACAGAACAATGGCACATTGCTGGGATTTAACTTGAGGTTGCATTAGTGTTTCAGGGATGTGCAAAACTTATTCACCACAGTCCCACTCAGAAATTAGGGCAGTTTCCCAAATTGGTTCTTTCAGTTTGCTTCCATGTCATACAGAGATTACAGTGGAGTGGAACTTCAAATGATACAGGCATGCTTTTGCTTGAGAATTCTAGTTTCTTGATTGACTTACTCATGTTTTACCCAGAGGCAAACAACCAAAATTCAAGCCAGTGATGTCCTATAAATACCAAAGCAAAGCTTCTCACACACATGCACAGCAAGATAAATAAAACATATGTAGATGTGTTCGTATGAGCAAAAAAGCAAGCAGATTTGGTTGAACTCAGTTACTTATGCTAATAGAAAGAAGTAATATTTATTTTAAATATCAACCTTCAAAGTATAATGACTTATTTTGTGCTTGACTTTTAAAATGGAACATCTAAACCCTCAAAATGCTAAGGGATTTGAAGACCCCCTCAATATGTCACATACTTTCTCTTTATCTATCACACAAGACCCACTGTGGCTCTGGGCATATGGCGGACACTTAGTAAAATTTTAACTTAAGTTCAATGTCCGTTGTATTAATAAAAATTCAATATAACAAAATGAAACTGAAGTGACTAAGGCATGGCCCTCCCATTCCACATTCAACTTTTCCCCCAGGAAAAGTATTACCTCGTAGACAGAAGCAAAGAACTCATTCAGAAGCAGAGCTGGAGGCAGTTCGAGTTATTGTTGTTTATATTTCTCTGGACAGAGGAGTAATTATGTAGCCTTCAAAGGCCTTTTCTTCTACCTCCCATCTTGGCCTACTGGTACAGGAAGAAACCTTCCTGCTATTCCTAAATCTTACAAATGGAAACCCAGAGGAGAAACTGTTTGCCCATGGTCAGAGAGTTACATATTTGTTCATTCTGATTTAATTTTCCAAACCTCACCCAACAGAGCTGTAGGTAATTGTCATGCCCTTCTATAGTTTCGAAGATACCCTCTTCCCTGTGTCCTCTCCACTATCCTTGGTCACACCAACCCTACCACTCCTTAAATAACTGCTTCCTTCTGTTGCTTTCAAGTGGCATGCGCTTTGTTTTCAGCCAGTGCACTTGTATCTCCACTATAAGGTCTTAAGCTAAGGGAATCTTCTAGTTGGCCTCAGTGCTATATAAAGATAAGGATATGCATTTCTCCCTAGAGCAGCCTTTAACAGAGCGACGCACAGCTCCAGACTCTGATTTCTCTCAGGCTTCAGTAATGTGAGTCAAGACTTCTCTTTTTGGTTAATTTAGCTGGTGATGAGAGCAAGCTGAAATTCGTGAGGAAAGACATAAACTGGAGCAAATGGAGGTCATAGCTTGAACAGAACCTCCAAGAAGACAGATTGCTTGTGGCTCTTAACGGCATCATTCCCCTGACAGGAGTGATGCAGATGGAAAATAGAAAAATGACAGTCTCTGTTGAGGAGCGTATGAGGGCACAAAGATTTTTCAGACCTCAGCCCCACAGAGAGGAAATCTGCTTGATCTTTATTCAGGCCCCTTCCTTTTAAATCTTGATTACTCTTGGCTCTGCTAGTGCTGAAATTTATGCACCAGCGACAGGTGATTCTTATATAAGAAAGGAATCTTGGGTGTGATAAATTTGGTCTTGAGAAACCTCAGCTCAGTTGTTGCAGATGGCAGGGTCATGATGACAGAATTAGAGAGTGGCGACCTGCTGGGCTCTGGGCTGTCTGCGAAATGGCTACTTTGTTCAGAACTGTCTGTGCCAATTCCTTGAGCCTCAAGGTCATGACCAAGGAGCACAGCCCAACTGTAAGGTTGACAACATTCATTCTAGCAACATTCTTTCCTGCTCTCTTAGACACTGCTGCTGACTCTCTCAAGGGTCCTATGAGAGTCAGGTTGTAACCTATGCTCTTTGTGAATTTCACCTTTATAATCTGGGGTCTCTCTCTATTATGACCAGTCCTATTAAGAGTCAATTCTGTGTTTGTAAAGAACTGTAAACCATTTGAATCAGCTGGGTTGGTCTGGCCAAAGAGACATTTCTGTGTATGCTGTACTAGTCAAGTCCTATCTGTGTGACCTAGGGGTCCTTTTTTGTAGTATTGGAATTTGAACTCAGAGCTTCATACTTGCAAGGCAGGTGATCTACCACTTGATCCATGCCTGCAGTCCTTTTTGCTCTGGTTACTTTGAAGATAGAGTCTCACTTTTTTTTCAGGCCAACCTGGACTGAAATCCTTCTATTTTATGCCTCCTGCCATAGCTGGAGTAACACATGGGTGCCAAATGCCCAACTTTTCCCTATCGAGGTGAGGTCTTAAGAACTTTTTGCCTAGGATGACCTTGAACTGTGATCCTCCCAATCTCAGACGGCTAAGATTACAGGTGTGAGCCACCAGCATCCAGCTCTAGTGACAACTATTCTACCATAGATTCTTAGCCTTATTTTAAGTTGTTTGAAAACCTCTCAGAAATTTGTACATGGAAGACCTAATGAATATTAATGACTATTGTAGATATAGAAAATACTCTGACGACTGCTGTGATTTCTTACAACTAGGTTCCTATC